GATCCAATCTCGAAAAGGAGTCGGTCTCGTGGAATGCGTCAAAACTGAGCGTTGAAGTAACATCAAAATAGCCGGAAGCAACGAGACTCGGTTGTCGTCTTATGCCAAGAGTGACTTGTAATTCTGTTTCATCTTTTCATAGTCTCGAACAGTCTGACATCAATTCGACTCGACTACAAACCACACTGCGTCGAATCGCCTCCGTTGGGGGTGTTGAGGAAGGGATTCTTAGATTGGACAAGAAGAATACCATCGCAAGTCTCGTCTAATCTGACCCTCCGGAATGTTGCAAGTGGGCAATTTGCAGTTCCAGCCAATCAACGCACTCATATCTCCGATTGCCCACCTCTGTGGGATTAGTCTTGCCAACTGAGTTGAGCCCCAATCGAGCCGGAGCCGACAAGATGAGCCACACCACATGGCCTACCGAGACCGCAGGATCTGCGAGACAGCCGAATTGTGACAAGGATACCTTTCCGAAGTGACCGGGGTCGAAGTGTAGACAACAAGTGGTGGCTACCAACCCGGAAAAGCGTATGACCAAAAATGTAATCATTTAGTGCCCAGTCCAGACGACCGGGTCCAGGTCTGGTCAAGTCTGTCCTGCTCGAGACTGTGGATGGCCTCGTACTGCCTGCGTTGTAACGTTTTCATGCAGAAACGTGTATATTGCATCAAGTCGACATCATCCCTACGGCTCCAGAAGGAGTTCAGACATGCTAACCGCTGGGCATATCTCGATTTGTACTGATCTTTCCCCCTGACAACAGCTGGGGCGAAGACCCCACCCTGCTGCACGCATAATAGTCAGCGAAACACGCAAAATACGTTTGTAATTTGGCTAATTAAGTTGGATTTTTGTTCAGGAAAAGCGGACATTCAGACTACCTTTTTCCCGATGTCCAATTGGTTTCCCATGCCTTTGGTCGAAATTCCATCTGGCCTTGGTGCTTGCGGAGTACACATTTTGTGCCCACATGCAATCCCAGTACGCATGCTGGTCCACTTTGCGGTAAGAGGATACTTGAGTGAATTGGCCAAATCTGAACGGAAAATGGGAAATTCTGCCGCTCCGTACTCGGCTACACAGCCCGGCTTGGATGAGGAAGATTAATGGAATGGGAAGAGAAGGATGTGCATATCAGACAGGAAAGGGATGACCCAGATAGACAGAAAAAACGGACATTATACAGACATGTGGATGCAGACAATCAGGCTGGATAGATGGACACAAGGACAGACGTATTGGGCGACATAGAAGTAGCCGGTAATCACCTGATAACGGCTGTCCTGTCAACGGGAGAACTTGCATTGTGTGTTTAAAACGAGAAAATGGTTTTATATGAATCACTGGGGCTGAATTTCGGCTGGTGAGAAAACGTGCAATGGAGAGATTCTCGTGGACCGATCTCGCCAGAAGATAGTTTTGCAAGAATTTGGTACAGTTTTGATGATTACTGTCAATTAAGGAGGCGAGAGTGGGTGGTTTGAAGACTATGACAGCCGTAAACTGTATGTATGCCGATGGAAATCCGACTTTTTCTTTATGCTGACCTGTTTGTGTGGTTAAAGTGCCTAATGGGGATATTCATAGGTCAATCTCCATATAACATCTCGGCTAATGCGAATTCGAACCTGGGGGAGCCAATTTGTACTAAAACTACAAGAAAATGCAGACTAATGTTCTATTTTACCTCTTAAATACACACAAATATATCGAAATATTTAGTTGTTTCATGTTCATTTCAATCTAACTAATTTGGTATGCATAGTAAGTCGATTTCTATACTAACAAACGAGTAAAGTGCTCAAGGGCTGATGCATATATCACATTATATGGTGGGATTGTCGATAAAACAATCTTGTACTTGCTATAATAAATGACTACATTACTTGTATCTTTGGTGAAATCACCAGTATACCTTGAATAAATTGAATATAAGTAGTGTACTTGATTGTGTTAGAAAATACAAATTTGCTGAAGCCTACTAGCATTTCTGGTTTTACTTCCTGACGGTTTGGCTGATGAGGAAAAGAAACAAGGCTAACTGAAAATAAATAACATTTTGAGAAAATTCAACTATCACTTCCCTATGTTGACTGGAACAACTGATAGTTCCGATAACTACTTATTATTAATATAAGTAGTGTTGTCGATTTTAATAGCAAGTGCCAGTTTGCCTCAAGAATGTTATCAGAATAAGTGACCTACTGGCTTCCGCAGCGCTAACCCAATTGCACTTCCTATATTGGGTGCTAATGATACACAGACAAGGTCGAAACTACAATCCAATATGTATATGAATATGTTTAGGCAAATGCAATGGCCTCCTGAGACCTATTCATATGATTGTGGGAATATAGGTTGCTTGACCTTGTGTTTTCGCAACTTTTTCATAATGCCAGGGCTACCTTAACAGTACAATCGTTCAGCTGACATTTAAGCGATGTTAATTTTGATAGTACCGCTTTCCTCCATTATGACAAATGACGATACCTAAATCAGGCAATTGATTCGTTATCCGGAATTTTTTGTGTGTTTTCGGACGCTTTAACATTTGGCATTTTTGTCTTCTTATCCACCATTTGTATGCTTAAATCTTTTTGTGATAATAGATTTAACGACGTGTATTGGAGTTTACTCACCGTAAATTGGGTAGATTTTACGATACCAATATTAGTGCCTTGGTAGTATCTCAAACCGATCTTTCCATCCTGGCCAGACCTCAGGCTCCGTTTTGAGAAGACCTCGTCACCACCTCCAACATGATTCGAGACAGAATTGTGTGCATTATGAAGATGCAGAGGTTATAACTCTCTGAAATGGGTGATATTGTAGCTGAGGAAAACAAGTAATTGCCATTGTAACCAAGGCCATTACTGATAGACAAACTAAATATGCTTCCAAATAAACAGTTTATTTCAATGGCAAATATATTTTTGCATGGGAGATAATTCGATTAAATGTGCAATTTATGAGTCACGACGCCAATTTAAGTCACGTCAGGAATGACAATGAGGTCAAATTTGAGGCTAAGAAAATGAATTGAGTATGATTTTAGACGATTATTAGTTTTTTAATATGAGCCTTGGTCGCTTAAGACGACGAATAGCTGATAAGTTGCTATGAGTCACAGGCACTCTTGGTAGTCTGGCGTGATGGTGGCAAGTCGAGATTGTACACTGCACAACCACAAAAAGGGGTTCTAGTACCGTTGGGGGTCAGAACTGCAGTCGGGTCAGATGAAAATCATTTACAGCCTCTGACCTACTCGTTGTAATGTAGGAAAATTAATTCTCATTACTTCTCAACTGCAAGCGACCTAGGTTGGCTTGAGCTATAATTTGAGACAATAAAAGCCGTTGAAAATTAATAAAATAACTGTTTTCAGAAGTTGTTTGACCTTGTTTTCGCAACATGGTCATATTGGTAGGAAGACTTATTGGAACGCACCTA